GGGGAGGTGGAGAAAGGTGGGAGGAGGGGGCGTAGGGTGGGAGGAGGGGGAGGGAAATGGGAGGCTGGGAGGAGGTGGAAACTTGTTTTTTTGTTTTTTTTCTCCTTTTCTCAATAAAAAAAATAAATTAAAACAAACAAACAAACAAACAAAAAAAGAAACAACAACAACAAAAAGGTGAATTTTAAAATTAAAAAATTGGAAAAATAAACATGTTTAATTAAAAAGGCCTGTGAGTCTTTTGTTCTAAAAATCAATTTTAAGAGAAAATAGAAATAGTAATGGAGAGAGAATAATGAACCTGCAGGGGAAATATTTTCTGAATTTATATAGAAAAGGGACTCCAAAAAATGTTCAGTCTGCAAAATGCTTGCCAGGCCAGACTGATGTAAAAAACATAAGTGTGGCTGCAAGTGACTGTACTCCCAGCAATGATGATGCAGACGGGAGGATGCCCAGGACTTGATGGTCACCTTGTCATGTCTATCACTGACCTCCAGGTTCATGGAACGCTCCTAAGTCAAAAGTTAAAATGAAGTGCAATTGAGAAGGATACCTAACACTGACCTGTAGTTGTGCGGGACCCAATTCCAGTTAAATATCACCCTCCCATACACAAATACACACCAAAACAAAACAAAAAGTACAACATTAAACAATGCTACAGAAAAGTCAAATTCTTGAAAAATAAATCAGTATAAGCTATTGCTAATTTTAAGAGATGAGAAACTAAATAAAGACTAAAACTACTAGGTTTATGGTTGTTTCCACTTTTGTTTATAAATTCCTAATGTTATCTGAAAGTAAAATGAATTCAGTTTGTAAACTCTGTATGAGTTAGAACTTTATAAAAACCTTGAAAATTGGTTAAACATACAATAAATTAAACATAGTGCCAAAAAAACCCCAGTTGAATCAAAAGGAGAAATAATTTTGTAGTAACCTGCCAGGAGGCTACCTGAGGTGCTAACTTTTATGTTAAATGGCTTAAGACAGAAGAGTAAAGATAAGTCAAGAGAAGAATGGTATGAAAACATACTGGAACTACAGAGCAGACAGACTACTAAGACAAATTACTTAATAAAGAATATAAAAGTGAGGTATTCAAGCAATCTGAGGTAGGATTTAAAAATTAAAAAATTTTAGCCGGGCGGTGGTAGTGCACGCCTTTAATCTCAGCACTCGGGAGGCAGAGGCAGGCGGATCTCTGTGAGTCCGAGGCCAGCCTGGTCTACAGAGCTAGTTCCGGGACGGACACCAAAGATACAGAGAAACCCTGTCTCGAAAAACAAAAAAAACAAAAAAAAAATTAAAAAATTTTAAAGCAGCTATGCACATAGAAAAGAATATATATGGTGGGTCATCTCTTCAGGCTTTAAGTCCATGTCCATACATTAAAAGTATTCCTTTTCTTGCCCAAGTTCAAAAATACTATAAAATGTGAAATTTCAACAAATGTTAAGATTGTGGAAAGAAAACCAGACAATCAGACAGACCTATTTGAAAAGTATTAATATCAGGTATTCTTAAGAGCTATAAGAAATACTGACGAAAACCTGAAGGTAACTAGAAAAAAATATAAGCAAATTGAGTACACCAGTGAGGACAAAAAAAAAATAAAAAACCTATCATTATAGATAAAAATATAACACATTCAACAGTAAGTCTGAACAAGGCAGATTTAACTACTAGAAATTTAATATGCGTAATTTTAACTCCTAAAGTCAGATAAGAAAAAGCTGTATTGATCCCAAAGGATTTATAAATCACCACCCATGGAGAAAAATACAGAACATAATGTTCAAAAAAGGCAAAGATGGAGTTTATTTGAATGCTATACAAAAGATCTTCCTAATTTTGAGAACAGAAATATATAAATTTAAGAAGTCATAAAAATCTAAGAAGACACAAGCAAGAACTCATACGCATTACTGTGAAATCATGACCAAGAAACAGAAAGTAGATTTGGCGGTTGGAATAAGATGATCCCCACAGACACATACATCTAAATATTTGGTCCTACTGGGTGAACTGTTTATGAAAGGTTGTTAGTATGGCCTTGTTGAAGAAGGTGTGACCTTGCTGGGGGTGTGTCACTGGCTTTGATGTTTCAAGACATCAAGCAAAGTGTCTCACTCTGTGTATAACTTACAGATCAGATGTGTGAGCTTTTAGCTGTTGATTCAGTCTGCCTGCTCCCACACTCCCCACCACAATGGTCATGGACTAGATCTCTGAAACTATAAGAAAGCCTCTAATTAAATGCTTTCTTTCATAGCTGCCATGGTCATGGTGTCATTTTACAGCAATAAAAAAGTAACTAAGATACCAGAAAAGAACCTTAAGAAAGATGCATATCCATATAAACTCAGAATCATCATTAGGAACCCTGCAAATCAGGATTAATTACATATTTGAAAGTTTTAGAGAAAGGAGAATGAAACAAACCAATCTGAAAGACAAATTTAAAATAAACCTGTATGGTATTTTTTCAAGATATTATTTCCCCACATTTTATTTTGGGCCTCTATATTCTACTCTAAACTTCCAAAACCTATACCAACACAGTAAAAATATTATAGCAGACAAAATATGTACCAAAATGCAGAGCTACCAACTGTAAGAAACAAATATTCACAAACTGAATTGAGAACTGGTCAGAACATTAAATACCATACTTTAATGATGGGTAACAGTCATACAAAAGTTCAGGAGAAGCCGGGCAGTGGTTGCGCACGCCTTTAATCCCAGGAGGCAGAGGCAGGAGGGTCTCTGAGTTCAAGGCCAGCCTGGTCTACAAGAGCTAGTTCCAGGACAGGAACCAAAAGCTACGGAGAAACCCTGTTTCGAAAAATCAAAAAAAAAAAAAAAGTTCAGGAGAATCTACAAAACAAGCACACATTCCCCCACAAATTAACAGAAGATGCTTTCCCAAGAGCCGATGAAGCATTTATCAGCCTACACTACATCACAAGATAATATCCAAGACTAATAAAACAGAATGTTTTTCAGAACATAATGCAATGAAACAAGAAATCAAAAGAAAAAAGCGTAATTATAAATAAAACAGAAATTAAATTATACATTAGAAACAATCTATCTCTCAAAGAGCAAAAAACAACTGAAATTAAGATAATTAAAACAAGTAAAAAAATCAAACATAGGATGCAAAAAAGTTATTGTAGGGGGAAGTCTAGAATTATGAGAAAAAGGGTTTCAAACCGGCAACTCAGCCACATCTTATTCTTTTCTTCTACAGTGCTAATGTTTTAACTCAACTTTGGGCATGCTAGAAAGGCACTGTACAAATAAATTACACCCCCCCAGGTCCACACTATGAACCAAAAGGAAAAACCAAACACAAAGTTGGAAGAAAATGGAACACATTTGAATGTATACAATGGAAATAAATGTAGAGAAGAATATGAAAAGCATCAAGAAAAATGGATAAAGCCAAGTCTGATTATAGGCATTACAAGTTCTACAGAAATAAAACAATTGTAGTACTTTAGTGTAATGAATTAGATAAACTGGATAAAAGAAGAAACTTCTAGAATTATCCAAACTAATCCTACACTAGAGAATATTATTGAATTAGTAATTAAGAACTCAATAGCTGGGTGTGTGTTGACAAAAGCCTGTGATCCCTCCACAGATTAAGTGAAAACAAGACAATATGAGATTCAGGGCCATAACTATTGATAGTCTATCAGTATGGGCTGGAAGAAACTTCAACAAAATGATCAAGGACCAAAGCGTATTCTTCCTGAGGGCAATCATATTTCAATATTTAACTACTAACCAATATGATGTATCACATTAACAGAATAAAACACCAGAAAACCAAAATAATCTGTTAATGCAAAAACCAGTAACAAGCAAAATCCAACCACCTAAGCACCCAACAATTATTTCAACATAACAATGGTCACACTAGAGAAGAATCAAAGTTAATGTAATACTCAATGTAGAAACAAAATGTTTTTAAGATTAGGAATGCCAATTTTTTTACATTTCATGGCCAAGATAATATTAATGTCTAAGTTTCAAATATTATACAAGAACAGATATACAGTTAAAAAAAACAAGGCACAAAATTTCCTACTTTTTAAAAGATGTACTCTATCACTTTATATTCCCTCTTAGATTTTATTTCTGTGTATGTGTTCACATGATAAAACTGTATTATTCTTTGTATGCTTTTTTAAAAAATGGTTGGTTATTCTACATAGTTCAACTATATTTGAGACACCACAAACCCATTAAAAGTGACACTAAGACATAAAAAAATCTACAAATCTATTAATAAGTATTTTTAGTTCTTTAGATGAGAAAGTATTTTCTTGCTTAATGAACATGTTATAACATTTACTAGTATAAAGCACAACTTTCATTTCAAGTTAAGAATAAAATAATTATTACTTGATTCAATATTCACATTTTGATGAACACTAAGATTTACTTTTAGAGAATCAAATTCTAATAACTGCCTAATGGTAAGTGAAAATGGAAATTTAAATGTGAATTTTCAGCATCTATTAAAAAGTATTTTTTGTTTTTTAAGAACATATACACACAAACACACACATGCATGTACATGCGGACTTAAAGCACAAAGAAGACAACATGCAGTCAATATTTGTCCTATAGTAGTTAAATTGTCTAACATCAGAGGAAACACAAAATTAATAAATACAAAGAATCATTTTTCCCTGAGAAAAAAATATAAATTAATTTTCAGCAAGCATACTTATCAATCAATTAGTTAGTGTGTTATATGTTTTCTTCAGGTTTTAGTTATAATGTTACCAGGAATTCCATGATTATGAACCAACAATACACATTAAATAAAAAAACTGCATAAAGCAAGGTTACATATTTAGATTGGCTATTGTTATTTTAAGCAGTACATTTTATTTAAATGCAAGTTTGTAGCAGTATTTATATATAACAAATGCTAAAAATAGTTAATACTGGATCTTTAAAACAAACCAACATACTTTTGGTAAACGTAGGTCTGGAGAACAGGCAAAGAGTTCATCTTCAGGAAACTGAACACTTGAGGACACTGACTCACAAGGACGTGCACCATTACAGATATGAAATTTGCAATGAGGATTTAAGGCCATTGCTAGAAGTTCTAGAAACAGACAGCAGTCCTGAGACAACTTCGTCACACAAAGCTCCACTAGGCGATGGGTATTGTTAATAATATACCTCTGTTAAACAAGTAATAGTTAGGGAGACAATATGGTTTACATTAAGAACAGACTACAATTTCACATACAGAAAATTTCATTCTTGTTAATCATCTTTTCATTCATTTCTGCAGTAATTATGTGAAATTTCTTACACAGCACTACTGTGAACAAATTAACATTTTCATTATAGTAATATTCAATTCACTGTATAATTTTATGTTTCAGAACCACCTGCAATCTTAGCACTTAGAAAATATAAACAGGAAGATTTTAGGCCAGTTCAACTGTATAATGAGCCCAGTGATATAAAAATTCTATGTCATATGAGAATATTAAAATAAAACCTAAAAAAGATTTCTAATGATGTATCAGCAATGGATTGCTTATAACTAACTACACTGTGTACACAAAATAAATGCAACAGTATTTTCTCACCCTGGTATGTTGCAGTCTAGAAGCAAAAATCAAAAGTCTAAACATTCTTTATTCACTACAAACATTAAGTCTTAATTGATAAATCAAACATTACTTCCAAACTTTGCATTAACTGACAATTAAAAAGTAAATTCTGAAGTTTACAGCACGTCTGCATAAACACACATATAGCCAGGCGATGGTGGTGCAGGCCTTTAATCCCAGCACTCGGGAGGCAGAGGCAGGCGGATCTCTGTGAGTTCGAGACCAGCCTGTTCTACAAAAGCTAGTTCCAGGACAGGCTCCAAAGCCACAGAGAAACCCTGTCTCAAAAAACCAAAACACACACACACACACACACACACACACACACACACACACACACACACACACACACACACACACACAGGCCCTGGCCATTTTTGAAAAATTTAAGTGACATTCTGCCCATAAAAAATATGTATGTTTCACAACTCATGGTTACTTGCAGTTCATAAATGACTGCCTTGTCATTCAGTAACTTGTTAAAAAGACTTCTATATTGTCATTAAAAGAAAACTGAGTCTCTTGCCAAGTCTAAGTTCAAGTCTCTTGCCAACTCTAAGTTCAAGTCTCTTGCCAACTCTAAGGTGGCTCCCTTAACTAAGAATTGTGCTTCCGTGCTCCCCTATCCAACCTTCCTTTATCCCAATCCTCCTTTTTCCCCAAGTTCCCCCCATTCTCCCCTTCTCCCTTTTCTCTCCCCATCTCCACTTACCCCCATCCCACCCCACCCCCAAGATCTCAATTTTCTCCCTGGCCATTTTGTCTACTTCCCATAGCCAAGAGGACAACTATATGTTTTTCCTTTGGTTCACCTTCTTACTTAGCTTCTTTGGGATCACCAATTGTAGACTCCGTGACCCTTGTTTATGGCTAGAAACCAATTATGAGTGAGTACATCCCATATTCATCTTTTTGGGTCTGAGCCTAGCCAGTTTGGATGTTCACCTTCCTAGAAATGGACGGAGAGGGGAGGACCTAGGACTTACCACAGGGCAGGGAACCCTGACTGCTCTTTGGACTGGAGAGGGAGGGGGAGAGGAGTGGGGGGAAAGGGGAGAAGGGTGGGAGGAGGGGGAGGGAAATGAGAGGCTGGGAGGAGGTGGAAACTTGTTTTTTTTCTCCTTTTCTCAATAAAAAATGGAAAAAAAAGAGAGCAATATGAATAAACAAAAAAAAAGAAAAAAGAAAACTGAGATGCAGGAAAAGATGGCTCAGCGGTTAAGAGCACTGCCTGCTTTCCCAAGGTACTGAGTTCAATTCCCAGCAACCACATGGTGGTTCACAACCATCACATAATGAGATTTTGTGGGAGGAGGGAAGGAGGTGGAAATTTTCTTTTTTTTTTTTAAAGATCTGCTACTATTTATTTATTTATTTATTTATTTATTTATTTATTATGTATACACTATTCTGTCTGTATGTCTGAAGGCCAGATGAGGGCGCCAGACATCTTTACAGATGGTTGTGAGCCACCATGTGGTTGCTGGGAATTGAACTCAGGACCTTTGGAAGAGCAGGCAATGCTCTTAACCACTGAGCCATCTCTCCAGCCCAGAAATTTTCAATAAAAAATAAATAAATTAAAAAAATAAAAGAAAAATGAAATCTTATGATGGATCAATAGTAGTTTAAGTTATTTCTGTTCTAAGCTATAATCCATCTGAGAATACAAAATTATGTTTGACGTTTTCAGTGTCAAAATTAAAGTTTGAACTTCCAAAATATTTTAGTATTAATTTGTGACTTATATTTCAAAAAGAAAATTAAACTTTTATCTTCCAGGGTCAAGGTAAGTATAAGTTTCTTTGCTTGCTTCTACATGAAAACTGCTAAGTAATTTTATCATTATCAGTTAGTGTTTCAGCTATATTGAGACATTATTCCCCAATTTAGAAATATATTTTAAAAATAAACACAACTGTGGATAACTTAGAATCAATACTATCACACATCTGGTAAACTATATTGTTACAAGATACTTGAATTCCTAGAGGCAGATTTTATTTAAAACTGTACTTAAAACCCCACGCAAGATTTACCTAAAAAAAAAACTCCTCCTTCCAAATTATATCACACCTATTAATAAAGTTGATACTTTATTATTATTACCAATAATATTTTTCAAACAGACTCATAGAAATCATTATATAAAACCAAATCTCCCTTTTACAAAACTCACATGAATTTCAAATTTCCATCCACTCAGTGCCTCATCCATAAGTATTTTGGTAAAAGATACAGTTAAAACATCTCGAAAAAAACGCTGACAAGCTTCACTTTTAGCATCAAGGCCTATGAAAAAGTATAATAAAACAGATAAAAACATTCCTATAGCCAAGTTTGTGACTACATATAACATACTGTTAGAAACTGGTGTGTTTTCTAATCCACATAGAATATTATATAGTGTTTGAGAGAATTAGCATTAATATAAAAACTCAGGATAGAATTCAGAAAAACTACATGAAAAACTCATCAAGGAATTGCAACAACTGAAAATGTCTCAGAACATCATGTAGCTTAACATTTTCTGATGTCAGTTAAACCTAAAACACTACTTAAAAAGAAAGGCATCTCTGCTTCACATGATGCCCCAAAATAAGGGAAAGCCCTATAAACTGAAAGTGAATCATTATCAAGCATAATTTAGAATTCTGGTTCAGCTTACACTGTACTGTAAAATGCCCTGTACGTATGTGACATCTTCTGAATTAAGAAGATCTCTCTACAGTTGCTAAAGAGATACGTCACCAGTTAAAAGAATGAATGTACTGTTTTTGGAAAAAACATTGTTTAAGTCCCAACACTTCCACCATAGATTCATAAAACACTAGTAACTCTAGCTCCAGGGTATCCTATACCTTCTGGCCTTCATGGACTCCTCAAGTCATAGGCATATTTCCCCATAGAGACAGATATACATGTATAGATCTGATTGAAAAAATTGACACAAGGACCAAAGATATATAAATATGCCATCTCATTTCAAGGACTTGAAAAATGATCATTACATTAAGTTGGTTTATCGTTTGCCTTTGAAGACTTAAAAAGTAAAGAATATTATACAAATTCCTAATCAGTGGTAAGAATGCACAATACCTGACATGATAAAACAGAAAAAAAAACCTGTCCATTCTAGGATCTAGGACATAATTCAGTTAGTAATGTCTTTAACTTATACGTCTAAGACCTAAGTTTGATTCCTAAGTTTATACAAAAATAACATGTAATCTCAGTGCTTGGAGAGGATAAAAAGATTCCTGGGGGGAAAAAAAGATTCCTGGAGCTCCCTAAACTACGTGACAAGTGCTAAGACTGACATTCCCAAATGTCAGGTCTTCTCTGTCCTCTCTATGTACAATCATACACACATGCTCACCTGTACATACAGACACAGATAAAAATTTAAACTACAGCTATGCTGCAAAAGTAAAAACTAGACTTTATTATTTCTTTTCCTGTGGTTGCTTCACGGCAAAAGACCCCATATTTCAAAATATCCATGTTCCTTTTGAAAAACAAAAGACCTCTTTTTCTTCATTAAAGAAAGCAAACATGTAAGAATATTTATTAGAAAATATACATGTAGTAGTAATGGAAAAACAATTTTCAAAAAATATCAGGGGCTTTCATTATCACATAATTTTATTTACTGGCATTCTAGTCAATAAAATAGCATGTTTGGGTAATTTTTGCTGAAATAATTTTATAAATAAATGTCTCAATGCCTTAAATCTAAATTTCACCAAAAATACAAGAAATTATATAGCTATCAAAAAGCAAAACTTTTAAATTGTAAATAATCCTTAATGTGTATTATAATTTAAAATGAATGTGAATTAAACTTTATTGCCTTCTTAGAAACATGTAAGTACACATAAAATCCTGCTTCAAATTTTACAAGTTCAGATTGCTTTTTATTTGTCATGTTAAATATTTTTCATGTTTTTTAAAATTCATTTTTTTTTAAAATCCACTCCATATTCAATTCCTCTGGCCATTTTCCTACTGGCATTTTGAAATCCTATGGTCCAATGTTTAAATAGGCCTTAACCTCTATGTATCAACCTTAAGACTAATCTAATGTAATGTGAAAATGACTACAGATCAGCAGTTTTCTATCTCCGGGTCTCAACCCCTTTGGCAAACCTCCATCTCCAAAAAACTTGAAATTATGATCCTTAACCATAAAAAACTTATGGTTATAAAATAAGGACAAAAATATTTTATGATTGGAGCCACCACAATATGAAGAACTGTACTAAAGTGTTACAGATTAGACGGTTCAGAACCACTCTATAAAGTTTGCAACAGCCTCAGGCTCTCCAAAAATATGTGGACAAAAGTTTAATTTTCCATTTCATTTCCCTGACCAGGTCACTACAACTAAACATAAAAGTTTAGGTGAGATCAAAATACTTTCCTTCTTCATTATTTATAATTGTAAGGAGGGTGTAAGACATGTTTAGGTGAATAAATGTCACTAAGGCTGACACAGATTTCTAAACATATAGGATATCAATAAAACTAACCCCGTTAATAAACATAATGAGTAACATGGAAAATACCTATTTTGTCGATACTAATTATAGTGGCTAGAGAACTAAGAGATGCTTCTGCTGTCACATGCAGAGCACCTAGCTTCTTAGTTCTTAGAGTAGAGATAATTCCTCTAAAGATTTTCCTGACTCCTTACTCTCAGTGAATGAATGCCCATATATATATATATATATATATATATATATATATATATATACACTTAGCCTTACCAGGAAGTTTATTGATATTGACTGAAAATCACAAATATTTAACTTTGTAATAGAAAAAAAACAAAACCTTCAAAAATATTATTTACATATATAAAAAGCATATACTATGAAAAGAATGGGAACATGTGAAACTCACCTTTTTTACTAAGATCAATAGAAGCTTCTAAAAGTACTTCTAATTCTCCCTTTGGCACAACAGGAACCACCCATTGAGGTCTAATAATGATTATAAAATAAGATTATTTTTCAGAACATTACTCAAACACTTTAAGTTATGTAGAGTGCTTTTAGTAGGATAAAGAGTGAAACAAACAACAAACAAAATCCTTTTAGATTTAAAGGAAAATCCTGCAAACATCTCCTTTCGTGGCATTAAAGATATACATTATAATCTATATAAACTTTTAAAGATAATATCAAATAACAAATAACTCATCATTCTTAACAAAAAACAAAACAAAATTCAATTGCTAATGCCTGTAGTTAGAAAGGAAAGTGTTCTTTCAATTTTTTTTTTAAAGGAAGAGGATGTTAAGAGAATGTGAGTCTTTTGGGTGCCCTTGCGTGCTATGTGCCATAAAAGCTACCAAGATTATCTGGAGCCTTTTGTCATAACAGTTTTTGATGATAATGTGATGATGGCATCTATCTCCTTATTACTTGATTCAGGAATCAGGGATTTTTGAAGATGTAGCTACATACTTCATTTACCAACAATGGGTGAGTGGGCAAGCCTGACAACTTACTTAGAAGGTTCTATATAGGGACACGTTGCAGCAGAACTTTACTTCATTAGAGCAAGAAAAAGAGGTATATTCTCTCAATCAAAGGTGTTAAGAACCAGGGGTTTGGAAAGCAGGGAACTTCTCAAAACTAAGAAAATATGCTCAACAACTTAAAAGAATATGTGGAATGAAATCAAGTTGGCTGTGTTAGACAAACAAAAAGGAAGTTTAACTCCTGACCTTTAAATATCAGTTTGACAGATTTATTAGACATGTTAAATAGCAAATGTAGCTTCTTCTTTCTGTAGTTATGCATATTTTCTAGTAACCTAATGTATCAATAAATGTACTAACAGAGTACAATTAGCAACAAAACTAAAAAAGAGAGTATTATGGGTAGAACAGAGTGTGCACAAAGGGAAAACCACAGAAAAGGAATAAAAAAATCTCCTAAATTAGTATTATCCACTGACCCTCCCCTTTCCTCTTATTTAATACCAATTAATTTTTTGGTCAAAAGCAGTTTTTTCTTTCAAGTCATTACATCAGTATGCATACAGATAAAAATAAATGCACCTGTTGACCAAATCTTCCAACTTTGCCAGGTCAGCATGGGGAAATGAAAGATCTTCATCTTCATGCTGTGGTGGAGCATCACCTTGACCTTGTTCATCTGGAAGAGTCACTGGAGAATTCTCATTGGAAGAGTCAGATGATGAGATCTTAATTAAAAGTTAAAAAATCCCAGACTTAACTATTTATAAACACATGTACAGGACTTAGCAATTCACATATCAATATATATCTAGGATAGGCTTACTTATTATCTGATATATATTATCTCTGTATTTAATTAAACTGGGGTAGTACTACTGATCTCTGCCCCTTTCCATCATCATGAATGCTATTTCCCACAAGATTAAAAATAATAATTATTATATAGCACTGTATTAATTAAGCTAACTTAGAGAACACTTTTTAAAATGATTACTACTAGTATAAATAGTTGTAGTTAAATTTATTCACAAAACTTTAAGACTTTAAAACGTTCATTTGTCACCACACACATACCATGACATAACTAATAACTAGAAACATGCTTTTGACAAAATATAAAACCCCTTCATGATAAAGGTCTTGGAGAGAGCAGGGAAACAAGGAACATACCTAAACATAATTAAGTGAATAATCAGCAAGCCAACAGCCAACATAAAACTACATGGAAAGAAACTCCCAGTGCTTCCATTGAAATCAGGAATAAGACAAGGTTGTCCACTCTCTCTATATATATTCAATATAGTTCTTATGGTCCTAGCTACAGCAATAAGACACCAAAGGGAGATCAAGGGGTTACAAATTAGAAGAGAAGAAGTCAAACTCTCACTGTTTGCTGATGATACGGAAGTTTATTTAAGTGATCGCAAAAATTCTACCAAGGAACTTCTACAACTTATAAATACTTTCAGCAATGTAGCAGGATACAAAATTAGCTTTAAAAATCAGTAGCCCTCTTTAACAAAGATGAAATAAGGGCTGTGGAAGCAATCAGAGAATCAATACTCTTCAGAAATAGCCACAAATAGCATAAAATATGTTGAAATTACTCTAACCAAACAAGTGAAAGTCTTGTATGACAAGAACTTTAAATCTTTGAAGAAAGAAATTGAAAAGGACACCAGAAAGTAGAAAGATATCCCACACCTTGGGTAGGTAGAATTAACATAGTAAAAATGGCAATCTTACCAAAAGCAATCTACAGATTCAACACAATGCCCAGCAAAATTCTTCACAGATCTTGAGAGGACAATAATCAACTTTATATGGAAAAACAAAAGACCCAGGATAACCAAAACAATCCTGTACAATAAAAGAACTTCTAGAGACATCACAATCCCTGACTTCAAACTCTACTACAGAGCTACAGTACTGAAAACAGGCTGGTATAGGCATAAAAACACACAGGAAGACGAATGGAACCAAACAGAAGACCCAGATATCAATCTACACAACTTTGAACACCCGATCTTTTGATAAAGAAGCAAAAAATATCAAATGGAAAAAAAGAAAGCATATTTAACAAGTGGTGATGGCGTAACTGGATATCATCAACATGCAGAAGGATGAAAATAGACCAATATCTATCACCATGCACAAAACTCAAGTCCAAATGGATTAAAGACCTCAACATAAAGCCAGCCACACTGAACCTTACAGAAGAGAAAGTGGGAAGTACACTTGAATGCACTGGCACAGGGAACTACTTCCTAAATATAACACCAGCAGCACAGAAACTGAGAAAAACAATTAATAAATGGGACCTCCTGAACCGGAAAAGCTTCTTTAAAGCAAAGGACATGGTCAACAAGACAAAACGACAGCCTACAGAATGGGAAAAGATCTTCACTAACCCCATATCACACAGAGGACTGATCTGCAAAATATAGAAAGAACTCAAGAAATTGGACACCAAAAGATCACAAAATCCAATAAAAAATGGAGTAGAGACCTAAACAGAGAACTCTCAACAGAGGACTCTAAAATGGCTGAAAGAAACTTAAGGAAATGTTCAACATCTGATGTAGGTGAGTCTTCTTTCTATGTGTTTCTTTCATTGGTTAATTATTTCGGGTAAAGCTAGCAGAGAGCCGGGCTGCAGCCAGCGGCTCTGATAACTACAAACATCCTTAGTCATCAGAGAAATGCAAATCAAAACAACTCTGAGATACCATCTTACACACGTAAAAATGGCCAAGATCAAAAACACTGATGACAACTTTTGCTGGAGAGGTGGTGGGGAAAAGGGAACAGTTCTGCATTGATGGTGGGAATGCAAGCTAGATGTCAGTGCAGCGATTTCTCAGAAAATTATGGAACAAACCTTCCTCAAGACCCAGTAATACCACTTTTGGGTATACACCCAAAGGATGCTCAATCTTGCCACAAGGGCATGTGCTCAACTATGTTAATAGCAGCTTTGTTTGTCAAAGCCAGAACCTGGAAACAACCTAAATGCGCCTCTATTGAAGAATGGATAGGAAAATGTGGTACATTTTACATAATGGAGAACTACACAGCAGAAAAAAATTATAACAGCTTGAATTTTGCAGGAAAATGGATGGAGCTAGAAAACATTATTTTGAGTGAGATAACTCAGACACAGAGAGACATTTATCACACGTACTCACTTATAGGTGGGTTTTAAACATAGAGCAAAGAAAAGCCAGTCTATAAACCCCAACCCCAGAGAACTTAGATAACAATGAGGACACTAAGAGAGACTTACATAAATCTAACCTACATGGGAAGTAGAAAGTAGAAAAAGACAAGGTCTCCTGAGAAAGAAAATTGGAAGCATGGGGACCTTAGGAAAGGTTTGAGGGGGAAGGAGAGAGGCAGGGAGTAGAACATAGAAATATGTAGAGCAATAAAAAATGTGAAAAAAAAGAAAGAAAAGAAAAATACTAATCAACTACAATATACTTAAAAAACAAAAGAAATAGTTATGTTAAATCAATCAATTTGGTCAACAATAGAGATAAGAATTATAGTTATAGCCGGACGGTGGTGGCGCACGCCTTTAATCCCAGCACTCGGGAGGCAGAGGTAGGCGGATCTCTGTGAGTTCGAGACCAGCCTGGTCTACAAGAGCTAGTTCCAGGACAGGCTCCAAAACCACAGAGAAACCCTGTCTCGAAAAACCAAAAAAAAAAAAAAGAATTATAGTTAATATTAGCTATCAAAAAATTAATAACCAAACCAGTTAATACTACTTATCAAAATTCACTGAAATGACAAGTCACATGAATAATCTGCAAAACTTTACTCAAATTTTTTTATTTCTGGGAAAGAAACATTCAGAATGTTCAGGTGTTGCACTTCTGAATGATAAAAGTCTAGAATGGAGTGCTCTAAAGAAGTAGTTTTCTAGCATTCTCACAAAGTACAGTTTATACAATAGGAAGATGAGAATCACAAAATTAGAAAAAGGTTCTAAGTATCATGACTTAAAAGAATGAACAATTTCTGAACACAGGATTATAGCTCATAAGCAGTGTAGTTATTTAGCAATGAATAAGGCTATGAAGTTTGATCCCTAAAACTCTGTAATCCAAACAGAAAAAAGTACATCACTAGTATAAAAGGCTATTACTTTATCTATCCATATTGAATTATCTTCATGAATCAATTGAAGTCTCCAACACAATCTATTCAGAAAAAACACATCTATAAATAGGGCGGTTAACATTTCTATACTTAAAGTAACTATGAAGCTGTAAAGGGTTGCATTAAATTAACAGAGGGGGACTTTCAGAAATTGAAGGTTTCTAGAATAATTCGTAAGTGAATACTTATAAAATGCTCTAAATGTAAAAGGAAGATAATAACTAAAAATTTATTAAGTTGATAAGGAAATGTTCAACATCCTTAGTCATCAGAGGAGTGAAAATCTAAACAACTCTGAGGTCACATCTTACACATGTCAGAACGGACAAGATTAAAATGACAACTTATCCTGGAGAGGTTATGGGGTAAAGGGAACACTCCTGCATTGCTGGTGGGAGTGAAAGCTCTCTATAGCCAACTTAGAGGGTAGAAAAGGACAGTAAGAAGCTCAGAAATGTAAATGGTTAGAAATCAAAATACTGAAACTGAACCACTATTCTATTTTCCTACAAACTTATCACCACAAAGGATTTATTAAGAAGTTTGTTTTCACACAGTATGTTCACATTTCAACTGCAAATTTCAAGCCATATGGAAGATCATGTTGGAGAGAGAGTAAGTCTGACTGGAAATTAAGTATTTAATTATCCTCAGAATTGCAGAGGCTGTAAAATCAATAAAAAAATTGTAAATTTAAAATAACCATTAAAAAATGAAGGGTTCTAACAAATAAAGACAGCAAGGTGAGCAAAAATAAAAACCAGGAGATGAAAATTTTTAAAAACAAAATAAAATATTAGCAATAGACAGGGGCTATACTGCCCAAACCGCCTCTCTCTTCCTATCCCATTCAGCTTACATCCAGATCCCACACCCCCTGTCTCCCTCCCTCCCTCCCTCCTTTGGGGCATAGCGCCTCCCTGCCCAGCCTGCTAGGGCGCTGGGACCAAATCCAAACCGGGAGGACAAAGGGGTGGCCGGTAGCTCCTTTGTTCCCATAGCCTGCCCACAGCGAGCAGGGTGGGCCCTTTGTTCGCGAGCTAACCAAGCAGCGCGGAGTTTCGATCTGGGCACCGAGTGAAACATCATTGTGGTGAGTGAGTGCTGCGGCAGCTGGGATCATACCTCAGCCCGCCCACACTTCCTGGCCATCCTACAGGGGCTATACTGCCCAAACCGCCTCTCTCTTCCTATCCCATTCAGCCTACATCCAGATCCCCACACCCCCTGTCTCGCTCCCTCCCTCCCTCCTTTGGGGCATAGCGCCTCCCTGCCCAGCCTGCTAGGACGCTGGGACCGAATCCGAACCGGGAGGACAAAGGGGTGGCCGGTAGCTCCTTTGTTCCCATAGCCTGCCCGCAGCGAGCAGGGTGGGCCCTTTGTTCGCGAGCTAACCAAGCAGCGCGGAGTTTTGATCTGGGCACCGAGTGAAACATCATTGTGGAGAAACATCTCTGGGCAGTGATATCAATGGGAAGGTACATCAGTGGGCAAGAAGACCTGATCCTGTAAAAGAAGATCCAAAGGGGAGTATTGGGAGGAAGAGATGGGCAGACGC